GCCCCCCCCCCCCCCCCCCCCCCCCGAAAAGGCACACGCGACATTGTACTCGACGACGGCATCTTTTGCACCACTGGTTAATCGAGGACGACATCGTTTCCCACAGCCGATTACTCGACGACGGCACCTTTCCCCACCGCCGGACTCTGGCACGAATTCTCCCGCCTCGAAACGGCACCCTTTTACTCTCTCATGCGATCCATTCAGAGGAGCTTCCGACGAAGCCATCCATGACGACAATCATTAGCCTTCGACAGCCGCTGGAACTTCTTAGCATGAGCGACCAGCCAGTGCGCCGATCAAAGCGCCAGCCGGGTTCGTTTGGCCCATGACCCCGACGAGACAAAGAGAACTGATGCTGACGAGGAGAAACAGCCGCCGACTATGAACAAGACGACGATTTTCAGTTTGTGCGAAAATCAAAAAAGGCAAAGACCGAGGAGTCGCAAGCGGTGGCTCTTCCCGTGAGGAAATCGAGAGGGAGACCATCTGCGGCGGCGAGGGAACGGGCGGTGAGGGAGTCGATTGGCGGCGATGAGGACGTGGAGCTGATTGCGGCGGAGCCCGCCCGGAAGCCGACGACGAAAAAGACTTCTTCATCCAGGCGAAAAGCGTCGAGTGACGCGGTCCAGGACGAGCCGCCCGCCAAGGCTTCAAAGAGGGGCACGAGGAAGAGCTCGCGAGTATCAAACGAAGATGCAGCACCGGAGGAGGAGCAGCAGCCTCCGCCGCGGACCAATGGCTCTTCGACCCGTAATAAGAAGGCGCCAAAGCCCAAGGCGCCGCCACCGGTGACACAGGAGGAGGAGGAGGACATGTCAATAGTAGAGCACGAGACGGCGGAACGACCAACCAAGATCGCGCTCCCCATGAGCGACACACCCATCATCAACCGCAATAAAGAAATGCGAAAGAAAGGAGGAAACGGCAGCCGGAGAAGCAGTCTGGGATCTCGCGGGCGCAGAGCGAGCTCATTAATCGAGAGCGGGCAGACGGCTATTCCGCATCGCGAAGTCAGCACGTCTGCATTTTACAAGCACATCGAGGCAGATCTACTGGAACCGCGGCGGATGAAGCAACTGCTCATATGGTGCGGTGAACGAGCGCTGTCGGAAAAGCCGCGCGGGACCATGAACTCGGGAGCAGTGCTAGGAGGTACGCACTTTTCCCTCTGATTTGAAAAAAATTAGTGTTTATGATGGTAATTTCATTTTGCTAACTGATTTGTTACTAGCCCGTGCAATTCAAGACCAGCTGTTGAAAGACTTTGCGTCAAGATCCGACTTTTCAGACTGGTTCAACAGAGAGGACAAAGCACCTAAAGCACCAGTCATACTGAAGCCAAATCCCCGGAACATCGAGCTAGATGAAAAACTGGCAACGTTGGAGGCGAGAATCAAGAGGCAAGTCGCGTTTGGGTGGTGCTCTCAACATAGAAGCCTACTAACCACGACTTCAGATTGCAAGAAGAAAAGAAAGCGTGGCTAGCAATTCGGAAACCACCGCCAGAGCAGCCCCCTCTATTCACACCAAAAGAAAAAGAAGCGGAAACAATCACGCTGCCCGATTTCGACTTGTTGGACCCCGATGAAGGCCGAATACGGGGCTTTCTCGTCGACGAAACTAACTCATTTGCAAGCATACGATCACAGACACAAGCACGGCTACGGAACATCCAATCGTCTCTCGAATTTGAAGTGGATCAGTTAGCAGACAATGTTCATAAACTGGAGCAAAGGGTCAAGGTCGCGGGCACGGAGGCCGACCGAGTACTGAGTCTAAGTGCTGTCAGACTACGGGAGCGAGAAGAAATGGAGAGGAAGATGGCAGGAACCAAAGAGATGCCGATCATGGAGGTGTTGAGAAGCTTAAGCTTAATACTGCCCGAAGGAGGGGGTTGACGATTTGTGGAAGTTGGAAAAAAGAAGATGAACGACTCTTGTCCCCTATCATTTCTCTCCCTCTCATCCCTCACGCTTTTCCTGGCATTTTCATAAAGGCTCTGCTTCATTCATGATACCCTCTCTTATCCTCCCTTTTTGCCAACTCCTTGCAAAAAAGACTGCAACATGGACTTGTGCCTTGATTATTTTAGTTTCCATTTTCTTTCTTCATGAGACATACTGATGACGAGACGAGGCGGCACGGCGCTCGGGTTGATTTGATGGATTTTTTATTCCGCCCTCCTTTTTGGCTCTTTTTTCTTTTTCTCTCTCTCTTTTTTCCGTTTTGGTGTGGTGGTTTGGGTTTACTTGATTGGGGGTTGGGTACCGTTTTGCTTGAATGAAATCCATACTACTTTGGTTTTTACTTCTTCTCTCATAAAGCAAAGCTTGTTAGACTGGCGGGCTGCGTGTTTTTTTTTTTTTTTTGGTTTGCAATTGGGGTGGGAATTATATACCAATTTGATTGGCAGAAAGAGGGATGAGAAGCAAGTGCTGAGCCTGGGCTGATGGACAGCAACGCGGAGCGGGGATGAAGGAGGAAAAGCTGGATGAGGTGAGGAGGGATAGGGGCAATACGGAGCGTGTATCTAGTCTTTCCCTCTCCCCTTTTGGAATGAGAATGGTACTTGACCTGGTCTTTTGGTTTCCCGCACTTTTGGGAGATATTCTCTGTGCCACGATTTTGGGAGATACTCTCCGTCGCTTTTTTTCTCGTTTCTTCCCCGAGTTTTGGAAGATGTTGTCGGTGTGGGATTCTGTTACTTCTTCTCTTCCTCGGGGTGGACGAAAGAAATGAGGAATATGCAGCTTTCTTCTCTGGAATGAAGGTGTGCTGCTGACTAGCAGCCTGTGAAACCCCAGCCTTTCGTCTCTCATGGTGGTCTGTCGTCATGGAGTGTAACGTGGGCAGCCATTGAGCGAGCTGTACGACATGGACCACATTTGAATCCGTTCTCTGATAAAGGCATGTTTGTCTCTCAGAGTTCTGGGAGGGGGTGAGAACTACGGGCCCTCTCCTTTCTTCAGCTACCAGCCATGGCAAATAACCACCGCTCTAATCTCGGCCCTCTGACGACAACTTTTACTCCGCCAGTCGACTGCACAAGTCTTCGGTTTCTTTTTTCTGATACAGTGGGCCAGAACCTCGCCGCCAGCCATTATTGTTACGAGTCTCCGGGTGCGTTCGAAAGTGTCTCTGTCATAAAATCATGCTTTCCCGAAGGCTTCGCGTCTTTTTACAACGCAATCTCGGTTGACGGTCTCCATTTTGGCGTATATACGCCAGCGTCAATCTGTCCGTCGGGCTACACGGCCGCCTGCGCTTATTCGCGTAGCAGAGGACAGCCGAATCCGTTCGAGGGTCAAAACGCCACCCGTGCTGATTCGATGATATGGGATCTGTTGCGTGTTGGCGAAACTGTGACGGGATGCTGTCCATTGTAAGCCCAAGCGATACCTGGTTGCGATTGTCCCACTGATGTTCGTGGTCGATAATAAGCGGCTATCGCTGCGATGAATTGTTTCCTGGAATGTGTACGTCACTTCCGGTAGACCCCATGACGGTAACGGACGGCGTAAAGTGTCCCGGAACACTTACACCGGTCACGATTCCCACACTGGCCGCGTCTGCGTTGGCTATGAAAGTCATGGTGGTACACATGGCTCCGGCGGGGCGTACGGCAACTCGAACAGCGATATCCGGCCCCAGCGATTATTTTTTCTCCGAGCCCAGTCAAGGTCTGCCCCTCGCGACGAAAGTTGCCATCGGGGTGATCATCCCTCTGGCAGCGATCCTTTTAGGGGCCGCGTGCTTTCTCATATATAGATATAGAAGAAAACGAAGGCCGTTGCAAGCGGTACAGGGACTCGGGCAGGATGCACGCGGCAAAGACGGCGACGAGCTGGAAACATTGAAACCAGAGCTGCCAGGCGATGATGGCATGATGAGTTCCGGACCAAATGGCACTGCATTCCGCAAGCCTGAACTGGACACTGTGGCATCCGGCTCAGGTGGCATGGTGGAATTGGCTTCTGGAGTGGCTGGCGGTGGATTACCAGAGTTGCATAGCAGTTCTAGCCCTGGGGAGCTGGATTCCACGTCCAGAGGTTTGAGCGTTGTTGATATAGTCGAGCATGGTGTCGATAATCAGCATGTAGACGAAAGGAGCAGGGGATTATGGCAATGGAGCCACTACCAGGACTAATGTAGATGGTTATAAGTCAGTGGCAGAGAAGGCGCCGTGTTGGATATCGAGACATGAGTATTTAATGAACACATATGCATACAAAGATAACCAGAGAAGGTAACTAACTGAAAGTAATACCTCGCTGAATTGTGTAATTGGCGTCCTTAGGAACGTACACACATACGTTGACAACATCCATCATCCATGAATCTAAATTGTCTTTTATTAAAGCTGAAAAGGTTTCTTCTCACTTTCCTTTTTTTTGTATCCTCCTCGTCTCGATGGACCATACATCATGATATAAAAAAACGCCAGTGCATACCTACCACCCCTTTCCGCCTTCTGTATCCGTATGCCAACACGCAGCAAACCCGCAGTGTGATAGTAACGCTCCAAAGCCCCCCAAGCAGAACAACCTCCCCCTTCTCCTCTCTCTCTCCTCCTAATTCTCCCCCCTTATATAGACTGGTTTTTTTTTTTTTTGCAATCAGAGACTCTAGATCAAGTGCTTGGATCGGAAGTACGCCCTCAGGTACATAATCTGCCACGCCCACAGAATAACGAGCAGCCAGGTCGTTCCGACGCCGAACCACTTGACACGGTTGTTTGTGCTCTCGTTGGTGTCGCGGAGCTTCTGCTCGCGCGAGCGCAGGTAGTCCATCTCGTGGACGACCTCGGCGGTGAGCTCCTCGATGCGGCGCAGCTCGGCCTCGACAGGCTTGAGCTTCTCGGTGGCCTGGATGGCGGACCAGTCCTTTGCGTCGGCGCCAATGTCGATGTCGAGCTCGACGGTGCGGAGGTTCATGACGGGCTTGTTGGCTGAGGGGGGGAGTATATGTCAGTAAACATGTTTTTGTATGGTTTTCGAATTGAGTCTCAAGGGGAGGGTGGGTTGTTTGGAGAGAAAAAGGGAGGAGGGGGCCGTTGAGTTCAGTTCAGGCAAACGTACGTCCAACCATGAGGTTCTCAAAGCACACGTCAAAAGCGGCATCAGCGTGCGAAGTAAAGACGATTCTCGACTCGCCGGCAACGTCCTTGGCCCGGCCATACTCGTTGCCAATGGCATCACGGACCTGTATATTTCATCTCGTCAGCTTCTCTACTCCTTGTTTCCCCCCCCGCCGCCACGACATACGTGAATGTTGACCAGCATGCCGTCTCCCTTGTAGCCGTCGACGGTCGACGTCACAACCACCAGCGTGTCGCTGCTGACAAAGTTGCGGATGCAGCGCTCCTTCTTGAGGGACTCGCCGCCGGTGTGAGCCGCGAGGTCGAACTTGAGGGCGTTGGCGGCGCTGACGAGCAGCAGCAGGCCGCAGAGCCACCGCATGGGCGAGAGGGCCGATTGCGCCATTGGGGCTGCCTGTTTTGCTGTGTGTGTGAATGGAAATATCTCGACTTGCTGCTGCTGTGGATTGTCGAGATTTTGCTATTGTGGATTGGAACTGTCAGTCAGGCAGTTCATCGGATTTGTCTGAAGCTGCAATTACAATTGGGGGGGACAAGACTGACCACCTTGGCTCTAATTCGCACCAGCCGCAAAAGGTACAGGTGTCGCGTTTGGGCTACTGTGGCTGGTGGCCCGATAAAGGGTTGAAAGGGAGCATCAGCCAATCAGCAGCCCCGGTGATAAGCTTGACTGTCACGTGTGGGGCAGCCTCGCCCAGCCTTTTGCTCCAGCTGCTGCATGCATTTCATTTGCCTTTGATGGCATGATTCTTCTTGTATCGATCTGAAGCAGCATTCGACCAGCATAATCCAGCCACGATGCCCAAGTGTATGTTTCCCTCTCCCTCTTCCAACTGACCCATTCAACCCAAAACTAACGCATCTCAACAGTCTTTTGTACGTCCAATTCCATCCATCAACCAGCCAAAAAACACCCTCCGTGACGCGCTCCCCCGTCTAACTTTCAACCACAACAGGTGACTACTGCGATGTCTACCTCACGCACGACTCCATGTCGGTGCGCAAAGCCCACAACAGCGGCCGAAACCACCTGCGCAACGTCGTAGACTATTACCAGCGTTCGTCCCGACCTCGCCTCTCTCTCTCTCTTCTCTTCATTCCGCCACTGACATATGCCATCCATTGTACAGAAATCGGCCACGAAAAGGCCCAGTCCGTCATTGACTCGATTACCTCTTCGTACGCTGCCGAGGGCCAGGCCCACGCGAACCCGATGCTTCTTCAGAACCAGCCCGGCCAGGGATTTCCCGCCTTTGGCTTCCCCGGCGGTATGTCATTTTACATCCCCCCCCTGGTTTTCCTTGTCTCGCCACTCTTCCTTCAGTCTCGGAAACAATATGGATGAGAGCGAGAAAGAATGATCTGGAAGACACAAAAGATACAACTAACACGGTTATTTTGTCAGGCATTCCTCCGCCATTCCCCGGCATGCCTGGAGCTCCTCCCGGCCAGTTCCCCCAAGGCCTCCCACGTACGTCCTCATCCTCCCCTCCCCCTTCTTCTCTCACACATATTCTAATCCCAATATTCAGCACCTCCCGGCGGTCGCGGCATGCCCTCCATGCCCCCCTTCCCCCCCGGTCCCAACGGAATGCCTCCCATCCCCCCCAACGGCCTCCCCTTCCCCCCACCCGGTGGCCTTCCCTTTCCGCCTCCAGGTGCACCCGGAGGCCCTGGTTTCCCTCCGCCAAATTTCGCGGGTATGCCCGGCATGCCGGTTCCTCCGCCTGGACAGCATTCGTTCCCTCCGCCTGGATTTCCCGCTGGTGGACCCGCTGCTCCCGGACAGGACAGGCGGTGATGAGTTAGGATCGGGAGTTGTTTTGCTTTTCAACTCGAGATTGAGTGTATGGTAGGAGATGGGTTAATATTTGGCGTATGGGGCGTTTTCATCTTTTTTAGCATTTCACAGCACATAAACCAGTTTCAGTAGACCAAGGATGAAAAGTCATCCAAAGTATAACAATATTTTTCTCGCAACAATTTTTGCAATATTCGAGCGTACATCATATCTGGGCAACACATTTTAAACCAAAGCGCGCGTCATTCATTTCCTTTCTCAAAAGAGTTCCTCTCGATTCACTCTCAAAAATCATTAATGCATATAAGAATCATTGCCAGCAAAAAGAAAAAAGACATTGTAACAATCAGATTTCTCGCCCCCAACGTCTTCTATAGTACAACTAACATCAAAAAGAAAAACGTAAAAGTAAAATAAGATGAGAGAAAAAAAGGCATTTCATTCGTTTCCAGTTCATGACATGCCTCGGAAAGCAATCTAACCGCCCCCATTCTTTAGATTCCGTGTTCTTCATGCAAGGCTAATAGAGTAGCCAGCAACATAGCAAAAAAAGACAGAGAGAAAAGAGGAGCAAAAAGGATGAGAAAAAGGGATATATAAAAAAGCAAAAAAGTAACTCAAAAGGGGGAGCCCCTTATCAAAATGTACATCCTGACGAGAGCAAATTATAATGAGACGTTGAAATTCAAAAAAAAAAAATAAAAAGCCCTCCAGGGTCTTTTTGTTTTTCATGGAGTAAAAAAAAATAGGACAAACTGTGGCATTTCCATCTCTCCAAAGGCAGAGTCGTCCAAAGCATCAAATCATCAAATCGTTGCAGAATTAATCGTAAATGCAAAATGCTGGCCATCTACTAAATGTGTCCCGTCATTTCGTCTTCAAGAAGAGAAAAAAATCATTCGTCCTTTGTCGTCATCATTGCTTGCTTCATGAGGAAAACGCCAGCAAGTAGCACAAAGACTCTTCGCTCAAAAAAGTCTTAAAATCGTCCAGCTTGGTCGAACCGAGCCGCTCCGTTGCCGGGTCTGATTACTTCACCAACGCCGTCTCGAACTTCTTTCGGCCCGCTAATCATCTGCCGAAGTCTCTGCGATCGTTTCTCGCGTCGTCTCTCGCTTATCTTTTGCGGAATGTTTTGAATCTCTTCCAATTTGCTCCCGATGGAAAAACGCCGTCCCGTCACACTCCCTCGGCTAATACTTCGTCTTCGCCAGAACTTCTTGCGAGGTTCACCCACAATCGATCTTGGGTCTCTGCTCTGACTTTGCCGTCGTCTCATCGATTCGGCGCTGATTTTGCGGCGTACGATACGCAGGTTGCCACTTGATGTCCGTTTGATTGTTCGGCGCTGGGGCCCATGCACGTCATCGACATGATACTCTTGTGATGGCAGAATTGAAAAGGTCTGCTTCACCTTTTGGCTAAAGCTCCTCGTTGGTCTTCGCGGGCGATTGTCCACAGGGGGATATCGATAGACTTCATCTTCCCGTTCATAATCGTCCTCATCGTCACTGTATTCGCCCTCGTCGGATCTGGGTTCAGAATCCTCATCACTGATCCACTGAGGACGCCAAAACGGATGCAGCTTGTCCTCTTCAGTTGGCTGTTCATTGTCTTTATATAAAGAGATGTCACTATCATCACGAGTTCTCCGTGACAATGAAAAGGTCCTGGCAAGGAAGCCCGGCCCTCTCGAGGTTGACACGTAGTCGACAGAATGGCGCCGGCGGCTGAAAGCTCTTCTAACGATGGAGGGCCGCCGAGGAGGCTTCTCCTTCAAAGACTCAAAGTAGTTCCCTTGCAGAATAACTCGCTCGGCCGCAGGCGTCATACCTGATGGTGTGGCGGGAATGAAGTTGATTGCGGGCGGGTACTTCGGCGGTTGTGGTGGAGCTCGCGGGTTGCGCAGAGGTGAATCGACCTCGAGGGAGGAGAATCTCTTCTGGGGAGGAGTGACGGGAGCTTGTTCATACAAATGCGCCATCAATGATCCGGGAGGGCTAGTAACGCGCCTCACCAACGCTGCCTCTGACGGGCGGTTCGAATGATTGACCATCAGGACTGACGAATTTTGATGGGGGAACATTTGAACAGCGAGGGCTTCTACCAGCTCAGGGGCCGTTGCACACGTCTCCATGGACGCAACCGAGAAAGGCGTGTTCCGCAGTGGAATCTTTTTCACCGAAAGCACATCGTCGTGCTGATCGATCCCAAGGCTATCAAATGTTTCCTCTCTTTTCAAGTCCTGCATCCCTGGGGATAAGGGAGATAGAGGGGACAGAGGGGATAGCGATGGCGTGCTGGGGCAGATGATGTGCACTTCCTGGCTGCAATGGCGATTAAGTTGCTGTTCAATCTCGGCATTGTGTACCTTGACGCTGCTAGCAGTTACTGATCCGCGACTAGAACCGTTGCGACTGGTCGGGGCTGAGAGCGATGAAGACCGTTGCGGAATCGTTGGGGGGAAATCAATCGTCCTTTCAGATCTATCGGATTCGGAATACGCTCGACTTCGACGAGCAGGGCGATCAAACACGGGGCCAGAGTTTGCAGATGGCGATGGATCACGGGCAGGGGCGGAACTGACGCTCTTTGCCTTGTCCGAGTGCCTGCTAGATGCCGATCGAAGAGAAGGCTCCCTGCTCTTGGGGCCCCTCGACGATCGTCGTTCAGGCACAATGACCACCGGGATACCACCACTCTTCCAAATCTCCCTTCGCGCGGTTCTACTCGAGATGGACCTGTTTGTCGAGTGTGTGACGGTTGAGATGTAACTCTCGCGATCATAGGAATCCAGTTGGCTGTGTGTAACCTTGGAAGGTTTAGGAGCTTCCTCTTCTTTCGCGTCTTCCGTACGGGCGATTGAACCAGCATCTACCTTGCTTTTAGTAGCATCTCTCAAAGTGCTTTGCTTTCGCATGTGGCGCAGAGTTCTCTCCCTTTTCGGGGGGCCATCGACAAGAAAAACCTCGACCACAGTTGACTGGCTAGACGTGCTCAATGGTCGATCTCGCTTTGCCGTCGCTTCTACTTGCGGGTGGACCAACTTGGCAGGCTTTCCATCATTGGGTCTCTTCGAAGACGAGACTACAGGTGCTGCCTCTTCAAGTTGCATGTTGCGCACAGCTTTCGTGGCGTCGGTAGGCCCAACAGATACTTTGTCTTCAACAACAGGATCGTGATGCAAAATTGGCCGCGAGGCTGCCGAGGATCGACGTCGATACTGGGTTCTCTGGGACATGACCGCATCCGACGGCCGGGCATCCTGAGAATGCCCGGCTTCTGGGGTAGCGCTCTGTCTGTCGACAAATTCAGAGGCTTTTGGCTTCGCTTTCGGCGTAGAGTCGCCTTCTCCTCGCCTTCCGTTCCCAGTTGGTGTTCTTTGTGCTCTATCTAAAGGAGTTACTGGTCGCACCGCATCGCCATTAGTAGCAGTGGCGTTAGCAGACGGAATAATGGTGGTTTGCGAGGCTACCGAAAATTTGCGAGGCCATTCGGCCAGTCCCCCGGTTTCGTCCTCCGAAGGCGTCACCTCCTCGCGGGCGGTGATGAAGGACTCGGCTCTCGACTCCGTGCCCATTGTACTCCCCGAAGCCATGCGGTCCTTTATGCTTGGCCGCGGGTTCTTGGCGAGGCTTGCAGGATGCGGCGGGGTGACATCTGGAGTCGGGGGGCTGCGCTGGTCCGGAGGGGTGGCTGGCGGACGAGTCGCGACGACATTCGGCAGCCTGACGCTACTTTCGGTGCTCGTCGGGCTCGATGCGGCGGCAGAGTGGCTGCTGGAGGATGCGTTTGAGTGCGCGGGCGGAGTGGGAGGCAAATCAGGCCCGGTGTTTATTCTCCTGAGCTGGTGTTTTAAGGGCTGGGGATTCACGGTCGGGTGAGGCGTCGAGCTTCTGGGCACCGTCGCCGCGCCGGCCAGATTGGGTTTGCGCCTAGAGCCATCGTGCGGCTGATCGATGTGCGGCCGCGGCAGGACTCGGTGCCTCTTGAAATGGCGCGGCGCCGCAGCCTCAGGTACGGAGGTGGGATTCATCTGAGAAGGCGCCGCCATCATGGCGATGGTAAAAACTGTTGCTGGGAGCTGCGAGCAAAAAAAGAGAAGCGCAGGCTGCCACTAGTAGTATATTTCACGGACTACGTGGCGGCGGCGTGGTTGAGACAGGGGCCGCTTTGCATGATGATGGACAAGTAGGTTGCGCTGGAGTTGATCAGGCGATGCAATTGGTGAGTCCAGCTAATCGAGATGAGAGCGCGGTGCGGTCGTGAATGGCCAGACGGACGAGCGAGGCGAACAACAAGTCTGCTGGGTCCCAAAACAACGAGGGCCAATCTGAAACGAGAAGGGCAAGCAAAGCAAGTGTAAGCAAAGGAAACGGGCTGAGTTTGCGTTCACGGCCCAAGAAAAAGAAAGAGAAAGACACCCCCCGTCGTGCCGTACAGCTGGCCAACAAAGGGCCGGGCGCAGGTGCTGAGGCGACGGGTGAGACGGTGATGAGCTGATGATTGGACGCAGCAGCGGAAAGCGAGTGAGAAGCAAAAGAAGGGAATCTGGCGCTCAAAGAACGAAGCCCAGGACGATGAAAGGCGCAAGCTGGAGAGAAGAGGGAAAAAAAGCGGGAAGAAAGCGACCAGGTGGTTGGTGAGACGCCTGGCAGTAGCAGCTGGGCCCCCCCGTGGTCGCCAGCCTTGATTCAAGGCTCGTTCCGGAAACAGAATCGCAAGGTTCACGATGCAGGGGGTGACACGGTGACGATGGACCGATGGCGCATGGCGGAAGCGATTCGATTCGTCGAGGCGGGACGAAAGCAAAGCAGGAGGAAGGGAAAGAGATGGAGATGTGCCGTTGCCCACTCAGTGCGTGCTGTACATACGGAGCAGAGCAGCGACGATGTGATTTGGTGCGATGCGATGCGATGCGATGCGATGTGAGGTGAGGTGATGTGTAGGAGGCAGAATGAAACTGACTGGTCTGACTGGGGGCGGGGCAACTATTGGTTGATTGGCACTGGACGTGCAGTTATAGGTACAGCACTCCGTAGGCAGGTACCTGATATCCGGCAGCACGTACATGTACGTACAGCGCTGTCGATGCAGATTGATGCAGATGCTGGGCAGCAGCAGAAGCAGAATCACCCTCGGGTGCTTTGATGCAGCTTTAGCCGGATTGCAAAAGACGGCTGGAGCTTTAGTGGCCCTCTTGACGGAAGGATGGATTCTTCGATCAATCGCCACAGCGCCCACTGAAGGAGCGCCACCACCGCCAATGTTCAGCTAGCGGGCTCCTCAGGCGCTACAGGCGCTGTGACAGGTCCAAGTTCCCTCAGGTACAAAGAACCTTACAATCATTGAAACCAACCTCGGTCTTTGAACCGCGAACATCTTCAACGTTCTCATCATCAAAGGCAAAATCAACAAGGAGGGTTACAACTGATGAATCATTCATGCTGCTCATATACGCAAAACCGCAGAGATACACGCAATCCCTCCTCTCCCTCCCCAACTAAACCAACCTCGACCTGTCTTGCATGTCAACGATTTCTTCAAACCACCAGGCAACGTTTCATAGCTGCCACCCCGTTCATGCAAAAAAAAATGCATATGCGGACCTCTCGAAACAAGCATCATGTGCGCCCTCTTCTCGATACAGATCCCCTCGCCAGATTCAACCGTCATGTGCCTGGATAAAAAACAGAGGCATTTACCAGATACAGTGCCTGGTGCCACCACCCCATCAAGCCTCTTTTTTCCCACCATCCCATCACATCCGCGACGGCGCGGGCCTAGCACCATTTGCATGTGCTCCCTCTTTGCAAGCCCACACCAAGAAGGGCTAAGGATAACTACTCCATGTGGTTGTTGGTCCCCATCTCCCCCCTCTTTGGTTCATCCGTAAAGGTGAGGTCAAGAGATGTCCTGTCTTACACACAGCCATGAGCCTCGAATTTCCCATCATTCAGCATCTAGAATAAAAACAGGAAACACTGCTGTCAATTTCCAATACATGTACGTAATATACGAGGTGCTGATTATCACCACACTACCCAGGGGATTCACGTACTCCTAGTAGGTATGTATGTAGAATGAGAAAAAAAAGCTGGTGGCTGGGAGCCACGCCGCTCTAACCTCATACTGTATTGCCCTGGTGTCGATGCCTCTACCATTGGGATGCTATTACTGTACAAAGCTAGCACATACAGTAGTACCAGAAAACATGTGCCAAATGCTCCGTCCGGAGTGCAAACTCCTGGATTGATCCTTATCAGCTGTCCAACATCCCCAGCTTCCTCTCTTGGACCACACAGGGGCCGACGCTGATGCAGGTTGCCTTTTTCTGACAAGTAGCAGCACCATCCCAAGTGTGAGTAGGATTGTCTAGCAGCTCAATACGGAGCACAAGTGCAGTTTCGGCCACTCATTTGTCTACAGTCTCTGAAGAGGGAATGCTTGGTCACGAGGCACCTGTCGATGAATCTTGGCGTCTCCCACAGAGCACTCACAAAATGCATATATAAGCACATAGACAACCGTGAACAGCTTGAGCAAATACATTTAGTTTTATATCCCCATGTTCTTCCTCATGAGATAGCTTTCCAGCTGCAAAAAGTCACATCATCCAGCAAATCCGCCATAATGGTCTTTTTTTGCACTCTTTGGTCATTATACTTTCAACAATTAGTTCATGTTGAACTGCTTGATCAACTCCACCAGTTTGTTGCCCTCTGTCTTGTAGTCCACCAAAGAAGCACTCAAAACTTGATATCGCACCCTAAAGTTTTATTTTCGTCAGTCGCTGTCATTTGCTTCGTTTTGCTCATTTTGAGAAACTTACCTCTGCGTATCACCAAAATTATCCATCTTGGCTCTGCATCTGAATACCAGCTTCTTGCAATTCACCGCCTCGAATGCGGCCATGAACTTGGCGTCGTCATTCTCTTTGAGCTCCATGAGCTCGTTGGCCGACATGCCGACTACTATCCTGCCCGTATCGTCGAAGCAGCTCAGCCACTGGTGACTTGTGTGATCGGCCACATTGAGCTGCATGATGTAGCGGTAGTCTGGCTTGTCGTGTGACACATTACACTTCTCACACTGCCATGTCCCATCCGGCATGGGGGTCACTTTTTTGTTGCATCCCTGGTTGGAGCAAGCAGGATAGGCAAAGCTGTCTTGCTTGACGAATACAATGGTGGCTTTGATCGTGTAGTAAGCCTGGTCATCTACGCCAAGATTCTCGTCTTTAACCTGGGAGATGGTCTTGATCTCCTCCTTTCGGCCAGTCGCGCCAGCCACACCAGCCAGGCCCTGATGAGTCGCAAAAGTGTCTGTTCGGCCGGCTGAATCATACCAGCCCTTGAGGCGGTAGGCATCAGGAATATCAGGATCGACAGTCATGGTTCCCGACGAGAGTAGGCTGAGGCTCTTGCCACCAAAGTCTGATACCTTGGTGCCCTTGAAAGCCACGACGGACTCTGGGTTGGCGTCAAAGGCGCTTGCTGTCTTGCCCCAGATCGTGACGCGAACTGAATACCCGGTGTCGTCCACCAGCGTCAATTCACGCTTCTGAAAGGGTCGACCATCCTTCTTTGACATAATCTCGCTGACTTCGGCAACCTCCTTCAACACACCAATGACATCAACAGTGCTGTCCTTTTCCACGCTTTGCAGTTCTTGGATGGTGCAGAAGTTGAACCGGAGTTGGGGTACGTTGGTCTGATCTTCTGCCTTTTCGATAACCGTCTCCCGCTCAAACGCAAGCTCGTAGTCATTTGGCAAGTTGCTGAACTGCTTCTTGGCCAGAGAAACTCTGCAGGGGCTAGAAATGTAGTAGACAGAGCCTTCCTGAAGCATGTCATAAAAGGCATCACACTGGTCGTTGAAGCCCGTAGCCTTGATCTCGCCACTCTCATCAAGGAGATTGACGCTGAATAGCTTTCCTTCTCCGGTCGGTTTGTGCCACGTCTTAATGTCTGACTTGGACGTTACACGGGCCTTGATTGTCCATTTGTTGGAAAAGGGCGAGAGGGCCTCGATGGGGTATATGTTGGCACCGGCATGCGTGGCTGATCTTGACGGCATCGACTGCAGCTGTGGCTTGATATCCATTTCTTCCTTTTTGGCTCCGTAAAAATCGTTGCCAGCGATCGTCGTCTCGGCCGGTTTAGGATCGAGGACCACTGGATCACCAATTTTCTCGTGCACGCCGAGATTCTCGATGACCTCGAGGTCTAGAATAACCAGGATGCTGTTGGCCATGTCAGCCATCTGCTCAGAAACGTAACGTCTTGATATCTTCTTACTTCTTTCCCTTCAAGTTGTTGGGAGTGTATTGCTTAACTCGGGTTAGGCAGCCCCTCTCCAGCTTGTTGTCGCGAATGACATGATTTGCCTGGGTAGCAAGCATGGTCTGAACATAGTTGAGCCCATCGCTCATGACCAATCGATACCTATCACCACCTTGCCCTGACGGCGCCATCTGCTTGATCTGGAGGCACTGCATCACAGGCACAGGGAAGCGCTGCGCCGCCTGATCGGGGTCATTGAAGATGGCCCTGCACGTTTTGGGTCAGTCGGACATGAAGAATGGCCAGAGCCAAAGTAAAACCCGTCTGGTTACTTACTCGATGCAGCCCTGCGATAATTCGGATTCGACGCCCATTTTGTGCTGTTGTGATGATTTTTTTTTCTTCGTCTAACCGAGCTGTGATGTCTTCAGCTTTGCCTCACAAGCTCTGAGTTTCGTGCACTTTCGGCGAGGCTTCTGACAAACCCGCGACGCGTTCTCTTTACGCGTTGAGAGGCGAGTCATCACGTGATGGCGGGGTGAGCGGGGTGCCTGTATACAGTCAGAGGTACTTGTGCCTCTCAAAAGCAGAACACTATGAAGCAGGTGTAATGTTTTACCATAATAGAGGGATGTTTAATGTTTTTCTAATTTGGCAAACGCAATATCCTGGGTTTGAGTACTTCTCCCATATTAAAAAAAAAAAATAGTTGCGCTTCAGTAAGCCTCCAGCCTAACACTTTCGGCATACCATTTCAGAACCTTGTAGGTAAAACCACCGATCTAAGTGACCGAAATGACATTCCTTGGGGATATTCCTAATGTGGCAGTAATGGCATCTATAGCAAGTATGAATTTTGAGATAATGTCAACTATTATCAACGCGGTAATTTTCAAATAAATCTATTAAGCGCTTGAGGATAAGCATCTGGGAAGAAAATACTCTCGCAAGCTTCCCTTTCACAAGAAGCACCGCGGAAGGGGGTACCTAATCTCCCCGCCATTCCCCATGGCGCGCTCAGGTACCCTTTGTCTCGGGTACATCTGGAGAGCCACTCCCTCCCTTCGTATTTTTCTACTTGAAACCGCATGACGTTGAACTTAGCGCAAAGATCCGTGCTATTCTCAGACAAACAACACGTCAGCAGCCATATTCGAGATTCTCCTTCATCATTCAGCCTCATCCTGTCGTATTACCATTCTTGTCGTGTCCTCTCGTCATTTGGGACATTCTGTATACGCGCGCCAGCATAAGCCACACACCTACCAGCAGCCATGACAGAGATTGATATCGCAACAAAGGCGCCGGAGAGCGATGCACAGCAAGACTCGTCGATAAATGAGCCGACAGATGACAGCTCAGAGATGGGCGAACATGAGCACTGCGTAACTGACAGGCCTACTCGTAACATGCGACCGTGTTTCCATCTGCATGCCTTATCACTAACATTGAATAACAGCCGCCGGCCAGGGATCCACTGGCGAAATCATCAAACTCAATGACATCGATGTAGGTTAACGCGAGGATCAAGCTGTCGTAAATATACATCTAATGCAAGCTGATGTCAGGTGTACATCTCGAAACCGGCCGACTATCCTCATACGCCTTCCCGCCTTCTCCTCCTGCTCACTGGCGGAACCGGCATCAAATCCGTCAATAACCAGATTCAGGCCGACATGTATGCCTCTGAAGGATTTCTTGTCCTCATGCCAGATATGTTTGCGGGCGAAACAGCTCCAGGAGGAAAAGATAGCTCCTTTAGAGATAACTCGACGTCTCTTCTCGAGCAAGTCAAGCTAAAGGCCGTGGAGATTGCAAAGTCGTTTATGATCGATATGTGGCTGGCGCGAATAACAGAGGCTAAAATCATGCCCATACTGCGCAAGGTGATTGAAGCGGCACACGAAGAATACCCCGATCCTATCAAGTATGGTGAAGGCATCTACGCCGTAGGGTACTGCGTTGGTGGTCGCTACGTGCTCCTTTTGGCCAAGGGGTCTCATGAAGGTGGCAACGATGAAGAGGCTGTCATGGTGAAAGCTGGGCCGTATATCAAAGCCGGAGCTCTGGCACATGCCGCATCAGTGACTCCGGACGATTTCAAGGATCTTCAAGCGCCGTTGAGTCTGGTGTGTGTTGAGGACGATGCCTTGTTCCCTGATGAGGTGCGAAAAGTGGGAGAAGAGATGATGACGCAGGACAATTTGGAACATGAAGTTCAAGTATACCCCGGAGTGCCACACGGTAAGTTTCCCAGCTCATATGAAACGAGATAAGCATTGTTCTCATCAGCAGCAGGATTTGCTGTCACGGGTCAATACCAGGAATCAGCCATCATGGACGCCCAAGTTACGGCATATGAGCAAATGCTAGGATGGGTGAAGGAGCACTGATATCGTACTTACATTCAGTAAAAAAAAAAAAGTATTGTAGGCTCATCATGGTTGCGTTCATTATTTGTTTTCATTCAGTCCTACTTCAGCCCCTATGAAACTATACCTACACAATGGTGCAGACGATTTTACCCGAGTTCTTTGCATTCTCCATGTGCTCGTGCGCCTCCTGGATCTTGTCCCACGGCAGCACAGAGTCCAGATAGATTTTGAGCTTGCGCGATTCAAAATCGGGGAGATATGTCTCCAGCCTGTCTCTCAGCCTGCCCTGGTACTCGACGTCGCGGCTTCGCAACGTGCTGCCCAACACGCGAAGGCGCTTGTACAGAATCATGCTGATGTCCGCGTTGGGGACTTTTCCTCCGCTCAGGGTGCCTAGGAGGAGCACGCTGCCGTCGAGCGCGGCCACGTCGAGGTTCTTCTGGAAGTAGTCTCCGCCGATGTAGTCGACGATGTAGTCGACGCCCTTGCCGCCCGTCTTGGCCTTGATCTCGCTGACCCAGTCCTGGGTCTTGTAGTTGAAGGCCGCGGTGGCGCCGAGCTCAGACGTGATGAACTTTGTTTTTTCATCGCTACCTGCCGTGGCATAAATCTCCGATGCGCCGGCAGCTTTGGCGAGCTGGATTCCGGCAATGGAAACGCCCGATGCGCCGGCGTGCCAGAGAATGCTCTTCCCCTCTACGAATCCCAGAACCAAGTGCAGCGCTTGAGTTGCCGTTATCCAGGCCTCGGGCACAGCGGCGCACTGCTCGTGCGTCAAGCCCTTTGGCTTATGCAGCAGCATCTTTGTGTCGACGGCGATGTACTCGGCATAAGCGCCGCCGTACGCAAGACCAAACACCTCATCGCCGACGTTGAAGCCGTTGTGGCTTTCCGATCCAAACGACTCAATGGCGCCGCTGAACTCGACGCCGAGAGTCTTGGGAGCGCCCTGGGGCACGGGATAGAAGCCGCGGCGCTGGATAATGTCCATGCGGTTGATGCCAAAGGCGGCGATCTTGACGATGGCCTGGCCGGGAGAAGGGACGGGCTTGGGGGTTTCGGCGTTGATGAAGAGGGCGTCACTCTCGCCTTTCCCGCCCTTGATGTCTATTGTGCAAGTGTTAGTTGCCGTGAGCTCATGTTCAATGTTTCGATGGCTTCATGGCGGCCTGTTAGACGGCGTACCGACTGCACGCATTGTGGCGGCCATTTTGTTTGCAGGTTTTTTTTTTTTTGGTGGATTGACTGAAACCAGAGAAAACGAATCACGGCAACCGAATATTTACTGCAGCTTCATTCGATTTACAGATACAAACTCCATCTTTAAGTGAAAAATATTGCGTCACAAACCCAACCTATTCAGCACTTCACTGTGCCTAGGCAAAGTTGGCAAATCAATTAGTAATGCAGTGAGGAGTCGGAGGGCAAACGAATTCCCGGCAGCTCCTCTTTGGGGCGGGCCATTTTTTGCCGAATGCCGACTAAAAGGGCTCGAAATAACTGCCATTGCCGAGTTGAATCTTGCGCGGAAAGCTGGAGCAGACTCTGACGATGAAGCTGTTCAGACTCTGGTTTCTGAAGGGGGGTTGCATAAGATACGGATTGTTCGGATTTTGGTAGCATAAGCTTGTGCTACGTTTGCCGAGGCGCCCCGTGTGTTGCTGGCGGAGTCAGTCTGACTTCAATGTTCCTTTGGCTACAACGGCATGTCCCGGTTTGTTGCTACTATAGTATAACTTGAGGTTCTAATGCTTCAATGCAACTCTATGCTCATTGACTAGGAAGGATTCCCAATATTAAACAGCGTCTGTTCTCACCGCCTAGCTGTCAATTAGTTCATCTTGAATGCGGCTGTTAGCGTGCTACGAGTATGTAGATGAATATTGGGTGGTTTCAACATGTTATCGCCGACATCCGATATTACCTAGTTGTAACGATAATACAATAATACCAGCAGAGTAATCGTACGTACGTGTCGACATCAGACATTAGACTGAGCCAGCATGACATTGAACCGAAACACGGCAGCCGTCATTGTCATGATTCACAAGGGATGGGGGTGTCCAAAACATGCGTCGCCCCCATAATCTCTTGGTGAGCCATCAAAACAGACCAACTTGTACGTCTTGTTAGATGACCCCAGTTCTTGTCTCGGGACTTGTGAGACTATGGGTATCCAGTGGTTTTGCGACATACTTGACGTTGCCTGAGGGATTTAGACGGTTGTCGCTGGCGGCCATCGGACACGGGATTGGGCCCGTTGAGAAGTCACAGCAGATTGTCGTGCCGTGCTTGTGCATTTGGTGGCAGAAATTGAGATTGCTGCTGCCGTCGACTCGTTGGCAAAATGAAGTGCCAGTACTGATATCAGAGCACGATAACACGGCTTTTCTCGATATTATTGTAAAACATTGATGCATCGCACAGCCACACAACTAACGCCAATCTAGGCGCGGACACCTGCATCTTATCGGAGAGCCAAGCTCCTAGCTCAATTTCAACCGACGGAGCACATCTATCCCATCTTCCCGAAACAGCGGCAGCATTGATAGCATCAAGTGGAAATTAGCAGATGCAACCCCAGCCCGTTCAGAGACCGTTGAAAGCGCCAATGTACGAGTATGAAAGGCGCCGGTGCGGGACACGGGGCAATGAGACAAAATGTAGGGCAGCCCCGTATCAAAAGGTTCTCGTCACAGTCTGCGAGACAGCGCGGAAGAGCCGATTTGCCGAACTTGGGCTTTGACAGTCAACAGTCAAGCTTTTTTAAGCCGTCTATCCACTTGGTGTCGGCCGGTAATTGTTATGTGACTCCATACAGTACCTGTTGCATACGAGATACGAGTATGTAGGTACCATGATCAACAATCGTTGTTCGACTCTCAAGTCCATCTTGGACAAAGATGTCACGGGATCGTAGCCTCAAGGACGAAGACTTCGTACTCTGCACGAATACATCGTATCCACCGGTACTTTGTATATCCGATAAACGGAGTCAAGTCAACGCTCGTATATACCTAATTATAGAAGTGGAAGTGGAAGTGGAAGTGGAAGTGGAAGTGGAAGCCAAAGATGGTACATAGTCTATGCGCCAGTCGATAAGGACTGAAGATCGCTCGGTCGCCCGAAGAATCCGGTGATCGCCGCCCAGACATGCTTTTCAAGGCATATCCTCGTACTAGAAGCATCAGCAGAAGAAAAAGAAAAGGAGCGGTCGATCAGGATCGCTGGGTTGAATCGAGATGGATCAGTCAGGGGCGGCGTCGCGGATCATTGCCCAGAGAGAGAGAGAGAGAGCCGACAACAACAAACGGAAGCCGACAACCACCTTGCAGCAGGAATACGCCCGTCAACGAGACGGTGAGACTCGTAAAAACACGAATAGACGTACGATACGGGCACGGCAACGACAATAACGCTGACTTCCCCCCTTGCCTGCGCGCACAAGACATGCATGCGTCTCTCCCCTATTTCCTGTCGCAAGCGAAGACAAGCCATCGATGCAAGAGAAAAACCGGATGAGTGGCCAGCATCCTGGGAGGTGAGTGGATAAGCGGGAAATGAGCGGAGGGGTCGTTCGGCGTCGGCGCGACAAGATTCAGTGAGATGGTTCGCTGGGGCCTCACCGACGGAGCACACAAGCACAGCACAGGGCACGTCACCTAGCGGCGGTGCCACCAGCTGCTAAAAGTGCTGGCACTACAGCGCACGTACACGCACAGGGCGCTGCTGGTGCTGGTGCGGTACTGCTAGTTCTGGTTAACGGTACGCACAAAAGATGAAATTGATTGATGCCTGAGAGCTAAAAAATACTGTAGTCAGTGGCGATAGTATCCAATTGGTTCGTGTACAGTACTCGTATGTACTCGTCGTACCTTGTTGTTAACTGTGGTCCCTCCGAAGCCGCCAGAGTCACAGATTGAAAACATCAATCCATCAATAATCTCAATGCCCACCGAGGTGATGCATCAACTGCGGAACCCGGACTCGCTCCCCGTCCAATTGGCATCAGTCGCTTGCACGCCAAACCACGTGATTCACCTTGGTTCCTGTTTGGAAACGAAAGCCGTGGTGGTGCTGCTGCTGGTACTCGGTAAGAGTAGCCTGAACGCCTCCACGCCCACACATAAACGAGGCCCCCGTAATATTAACCAGTCCGCATTGACAGTGGAAATTTTCTTGCAAGACCTGCTTGATAGGCGGGCGAGCCCAGATTGGAGGAGCTGGAATAGGCAAGCAAGAAAGGCGGGCGTGGATGCGAGAGATGCGCACCCTTGCATTGAGCAAGCAGCGCTCGGAATCCTCCTTTTTTTTTCTTGTTCCATGGATCCTTGATATGATACGAATTTTGATACCCAACATGGCAGCCTTGATTCCCGTCGTACTACTACTGTACAGCACCTGTACGATCCCGCTTCTCCAGCGTCGGGTGATCTCAACGCCTTTCCCGGGCTAGATTCATGGCGGTTCGAAAGCCAGCTGGAGCGATGCCTTTTCGTGCTTCCTGTTGCCGCTGGCCAGGGGATGAAGCTGACAGAAGCGTTTTGGTTCCTGCATTAGCGCCAACGCGCCCAGGGCCACTAAAAAAGGCTGATCAGATGGGTGGGATGGGTGGGTGGAAGGGGGGTCACGCCCTAACAGGGGAAAAAACACACAGAGCTAGCGGGCTGCTAGAGGCAATAGTTGGCAGCAATATCGCGAAGTTGCAGCAGCAATTAATTTCGTGGCCGTCCATTGATTCATCGCCGTGATCAGCAGCAGCATGGCATGGGGAAAGAATAAGGGGCCGCTTGGAACCGGATCACCAGTGGCACCCATCCAGCCCTGCCCTGCCCTGTGCTGTTTGGCATACTCGTAGAAGGAGAGGATTTGATGCGAAACGCGGGTACGATTACATGAACGGAGCAAGATGGGGAATCACCTCAGTCTTGGGGGTTGCTCGAAACGGGCCTGTGTGGTCGATCAATAGAAGCTTACTTGAGCCTGTGCTCATCTTCTATTACCTATGGATCAACTGATGTCCATGTGTGCTTGTATGCCCTGGTAGTACCCACACCAACGTGAATGCAACCGTTACATGCTATGTACATACTAGATGAGATTAATATTGGCCTGTATTATGAAGTGATTTTTTTTCGGGTAGGCGTGCTTGTCCGTAAATTACCACATGGGAGAGATATGGCCAAGATTTGATAGATAGATTAGTACGAAGTAGCAGTATTTTGGGGTGCGGGATAATAATGGCTGCCAACAAAGTGCCCGAATTCGGATGATAAGCACATCAACATTTGATACCTACAGGTACCGTAATCTATCAATTCTGCCAACACCCCGAAAGGTGTGCAATTAATTTGGCTCGTCGGCTTCGCAATTCGTATCTCGTACTACTCATCAAGTAAGTACCTTTCCCACCGTCCCTTGCTTTACAGTACAGCCCAAGACAGTGCAGCACAACAAGCAAGTTTCTCTGCTCCGTATATCCAGCACTTGATTCGACAGATTAAAATAAACACGGCAGCAAAAGCGCCACCACGCGTTCCCTTTGATTGTGTGGCTTTTTGGCGTCTGGAGCTAGGCCCAAGTCACTCACTCCATCTCGTGCCCAACCCCTGCATGGCCCCATCCCATGATCCATGATCCATGATCCATGATCCATGATCCATGACCCTTGCTCGACCTGCTTTTTCTGCGCTGCTTGTTTGTCTTGCCTCTGCAGCTGGAGCCCCCGAGAAAAGGCCCAATCTTGGCTTTTGCCCCCATCACGGCCCACCCGCCTTTTCTCTCCCTTGGAGCTGCACCCCTGGCAACTTCCCCTGGCTGTTTTTTCCCCTCTCTTTTTCGCTCTAGTGACTGTTGCTTTGTGCTTGTGCTTCTGCCCACAAACATTGGTTATAAAGCTCGACTCCTCCAGAGCCCATCTGGGTCTTGATCTTCTTTCCTTCCTTCACCACACACTCACGCTCGCTAAGCACCTGCAAAAACTCACCTTGACACTTTTGTCAATTTCACTCTTTAACCAACAACCTGCATCAATAATCTTAATCAAGCTCCCTCGAGTTTAATTCCTAATACCGACAAGATGAAGTTCACCGCTGCTGTCGCTCTCGCCGCCGTTGGCGTCTCTGCCGTCTACGTTCCTCCTAGCAACGTCACCGTTATTACCGAGGTCGTTGACCAATACGTCACCTACTGCCCCTATGCTACCGAGATCACCCACGGCAGCACGACCTACACCGTCACTGAGGTACTTTCGAACCCGAATATCTAGATATGAAGCGAGAGAGCCACGCGAGACTAACATGACGTGCCTCAACTTAGCCCACCACTCTGACCATCAGCGACTGCCCCTGCACCATCACCCGCCCCGTGACCGTCACCAGCAGCGTTCTCTGCCACACCTGGTAAGTCGAGCTTGACATTTCCCCGATGCGATATGATATCGTCTGTCGATCCAGTACATCTTCAACTAACACGGAATGCCTCAACAGCGGTGCCGCCGCCCCTACTGGTGCTCCCTCCGGCGCTCCCTCCGGTGGCAACGGTGGTTCTTACACCCCTCCTGCCTTCACCAACTCCACCATCACCACTCCCACCCAGGCCCCTCCCGCCAGCGGCCCTGCCAGCACTGGTGGTGTTGTTCCTTCTGCTCCTCCCGCCGTCCCCACTGGCGGTGCCAACAAGGCCGTCCTCTCCGGCGCCGGCCTTGCCGGTATCGTCGGTCTGGCCGCTTTCGTCCTGTAAATCTTGTAAATTTCGACACCTCGCCAATCTACCGGCTACGATTTCTTGCTTCTACGATTCTTGGAAGTCGTCGGTTCGGCCTCCGCTCATGATTTGATATAAAGGGGGGGAATTAACAGTGTTGGGTTTTATTTGGTTTACGTCGACGGAAATGGGGGAGTGGATTACTTTTTGGGATGTATAGAGAAGGGTTCTCTTGGGTTAACGGGACATGCAAGCTCGGTGTTCAAGGGAACTCGATTTTTTTGATCGCCCACGGAAAGATGCACTACAAATCACACTGTGTGCGGTCGTTTCTCGGGGCTGGAATATAATGTGTCATTTTCTCCAGCAAAATAGGATGGGTCTGCCATTTACCTCTCTCTCGCGTCTTTCACCCTATTGACAAGAAAACCTAAAGAAAAAAGGACGCTTTTCCTGCCTCGAAAAAACTATCGATTCCATTTCTTTTGTCAGAATATTTTTTTCAGTCTTCGTTCCTTTCGCTGCGATGGGCGCTTCTCTACACATCGCGCAAGGCCCCCTTTTTATTACACCTGAGCTGGGCGTGTTTATGGCCTCTTGTCAATATTTCTTATATATAAAGTTTGGCAAGCCTAATTACTATCACTGGTAGTTTTGGTGAGCACAAAAGTATATACTGAGAGGGCAGTTTTGGCCCAGCACACAAAAATCCAATTCAGCAACGACTTCTTCATCTCGTCGATTAGCAAAAGTGAAGTCCGGCCAAGCAAGCGCTGCGTTCTAGACTTTGAGTTGTAATTTCCGATGTGATGTGATGAAAAAGCCGCCGCTTTTTGCCTGCACATACCTACTGGCTATTACATGCAACCTTGCACCTTTTTCTGTCGACTCACCGTTTTTCGACAGCCGGCGTCTACTTGGGCATGTCGCTTGTTCTGCCAATGTCCGTTCACTCGAGGTCGAGGCCAAGGTGGCTTCGGGCCGTCCCCTGGAGTTAAGCCCTTTGGTGCTTGCTGGGGATTTACAGACTAATAATACGGAGTACAGGCCTTGCATGTAGTTGACGGCTGCGCTTACCGGTGATGAACCTAGCAGGAGAGCAATTGGCAGTAATCTAAAAGTGGGCATTTAGCCTATAGAGTGTTGTATTTGATATTGTCTGTGTCAGACGGACTGTCCAACTTTGGGGTTGGTGAATTGAGATGTGTAATCGAGGGTCAGCAACGTTTTGATTGGGCTGGCTTTGCCGAGGCTTGAAGTGTGATTGGGGTGAGGTTATCTGGAGAAGACAAAAGTTTATTTGCCGGGCCACACGGGGGCTAAGTCGGGGGACAATATGCTGGGCAATTTACGCATTAATAATGCTTTACATATGAATGGATAGCCGGAGAAGTTGAGTGAAAGTATTCTGGACTAGTATTGTTAAACCAAGTAGTTTGACGACTGTTTGGTGCTCATCACCGCGAGTGTTGTTCACTACCAAATAATATATAATATCTTGTTTTGACCCAACATCCATCAGCTTTACCTATATGCGTGATGTTGGCGATGGGTGCTGGCCTTTCAACTTGGTATTGGTTGAGACACTTGCACTTCTACTACCAATCGCGTAAGATACACAAACAGCAATGATGTCAACATGAACTTTCTTTGCATCCGTCTGGAACATGCCGCTTCCCACAACAAGGCGATAGCGGACTCCCATTGCCGAGCTCTACCGACGATGATGCTCAGCAGCGCTATCGATAGCCTGGAGCCAAAAGGCGGGGCAAATCCGGGGCCCCAGCTCCTGCTCCTGCCTTCCATGTTCTCTCGCGCCGACCAGCGGATTAACGGAGCTGCAGCACGGCAATCAGCTCCACCGTGGCTTCCTCCGTTACAGTTACCTGCCGCGCCTGCTGGACGCCTCAACGGCTGTTGGCACCTTCCCCATGACTCGCCTCGCCATCGCCCTGATCTGCTTTAGTCATCAGCTTCATGAAGCTGGATTACCGAGGATAAGTTGATTGTGCTGATTGCTACTTATACCCAGACTGAGAAGCGGTTGAGCTGGCAGAATCTAATCTGTGACCGCAACTCTGGAAGTTTGCTCGCAATCTGTCTGGCGTCTCATCTTCTACGCGTCTCCTTCATTCATACCAAACCGCCATCAACTCCAATCGTGTCTGTCCTCTCCCAAAGACCACCATGTCTGGCAACGACGGCCATGTCCAAGATGATGTCCTGCGGCACAGCCTAGAGAACCCCGAAGAGTTCTGGGCAAACCAGGCTGAGCATCTCTACTGGCACAAGAAGCCCAGCTCAACACTGAAGCTTACAGCCAAGAAGCTCAAGAGCGGCGTTGAGCACGACAGCTGGGAGTGGTTCCCTGACGGCGAGATTTCCACCTGCTACAACTGCGTGGACCGCCATGTCGAGGCTGGACATGGCGACGAGGTTGCCATCTACTTTGACAGCCCAGTCACCAAGGTCAAGCAGAAGTACACATACCGCCAGCTGCTGAGCGAGGTTGAGGTCTTTGCGGGAGCTCTGAGAGAAGATGGCGTGCGCAGAGGCGATGTGGTCATGCTTTACAGTAAGTTTCTTGATATAAGTGTCGATGTGTTCACTCATTCGCCTCACTTATTACACAACGATTTCCTTGTCTTGTCACTAACATAAAACAACAATAGTGCCAATGATTCCCGCTGCTCTCATTGGTATTCTCGCCGTGAACCGCCTCGGTGCCATCCACTCCATCGTCTTCGGCGGCTTTGCCCCCAATGCCCTTGCTCAGCGTATCGACTCATGCAAGCCCGTCGCCCTCTTGACGGCGTCATGTGGCATTGACGGCAACAAGCCTCCTATCCCATATCGCCCCCTCGTCGAGGAAGCCTTCAAGCTGGCCACTCACAAGCCGCGCCGGACGTTCATTTGGCAGCGTGAACAGGCTCCCTGGGCACCTACAGACCGCAGCGCGGGCCAAGCAAGCTGGCAAAAAGTCATGGACAGCGCACGTTCAAGAGGCATCAAGGCCGAGTGTGTCCCCGTTAAGAGTGCTGATCCGGTCTACATTATCCACACATCCGGCACCACAGGCACGCCCAAGGGAGTCTTGCGAGACGCTGGAGGCCATGCCGTTGGTCTGCACCTCTCAATTAGCTACATGTTCAACATCCACGGGCCGGGCGACGTTGTCTTCACGGCGTCGGATATTGGTTGGGTTGTTGGCCACTCATACATCGTCTACGCACCGCTGTTGGCTGGCGCTTCCACAATCATTTATGAAGGCAAGCCAATCGGAACACCAGACGCTTCAGCCTTCTGGCGTGTTGTCGAGGAGTACAAGGTTAACACCATGTTCACTGCCCCAACGGCCCTACGCGCCATCAAGCGTGATGATCCTGATAACAAGTTTTTGGCCAAGGTTGGGGAGCGGGGTGGCCTCCGCACACTCAACGCCCTGTTCCTAGCCGGAGAACGTTCAGAGCCAAGCATCATATCCATGTATCAGGATCTCCTAGACAAGTATGCTGCGCCATCCGCGCATGTCATCGATAACTGGTGGTCCACTGAGACTGGCTCTCCCATGACGGGCCGCGCTCTTGTTCCCCATGCGGGTCGTGACCGCAAGTCCAAGACTCGTCATGATCCTCCTCGCCTCAAACCTGGCAGTGCGGGTAAAGCCATGCCCGGATTTGACATCCGGGTTGTCGACGATGAGGGTCGTGAGGTTGACAGAGGCACCATGGGCAACATTGTGCTGGGGATGCCATTGGCGCCGACCGGATTCCGCACTCTATGGGACGATGAAGAGAGATTTTACAAGGGATATTTGAAGAGGTTCCAAGGAAAGTGGCTTGATACTGGAGACTCGGGCTGGATTGATGCCGAGGGCTACGTACATGTCATGAGTAGGAACGATGATGTGCTGAATGTGAGTGCACATCGGCTGTCGAGTGGTAAGTCTTGTTTCATGCCTTTTGTCACCCCTACACTTTGCTCTTCCTTGCCCGGTATGGAGGCCGCAATTGGCCATTGCAACTGTGCAGATATACGCTAGAAACAGCCCAGCTAACGCGCTCCCTCTGTAGGTGGTATTGAACAAGCTGTGACTTCGCACCCCCTGGTTGCCGAAGCCTGCATCGTGGGTGTCCCTGATGCCATGAAGGGCCAGCTGCCTTTTGCTTTCATCACTCTCTCTACCCCATCTCACCCCACAGCTGCAGTCCCTGACGAGAAGCTGGCTGCTGAGATTCAGGCCCTCGTAAGGAAGCAAGTAGGTGCCATCGCCTCACTTGGCGGCATCATTCAGGGCAAAGGCATGATTCCCAAGACGCGCTCCGGCAAGACTCTAAGGCGTGTATTGAGGGAGCTGCTGGAGAATGCCGCCAAGGGCGAGTTTGATAAAGAAGTCGCGGTGCCGAGCACTGTGGAGGACTCGGCGGTCGTGAACGTGGCCAGGGGTAAAGTAAAGGAGTATTTTGATACTGTGGGCGAGAAACATGCCGCCGTTGAAGAAGGCATCAAGGCGAAGCTATAATGAGAGTGGCATATGACGGTCTTTGGGTGATTATTTCAAAGTGGGCGTCGGATTCAGGATTGACGGCATGATCAACTGGGCTATGATATGAAGCAATTATCTACCAACTGCGACGGAGGTATCTACTCTGGGTATGCAGTAACAAATAACACTGCTGGATATGGGTGTATACCTTTGATTTACCCTATGTCAAGGAGTCTTTTCCGTGAGAGAAATGTCCCAAATTCACGGCCCCGTGATTGAAGAGCAAATTACCCTATACTTCCCCACCACGACAGTTATTTCAAGATGTCCCATGAAGCATTTTTCTTTTTCCCATTGCAAATCTTCCATTTTCCTCACTGTAATCCAGCTAGAAACATGGTTGCCCTTCAGCCTCCCCCCCGCCCCTTTGTTCAGCACCAAAACTCACATCATCCAATGCTGGCGATATCTCACCCCTCTCTCGTATCCCCCCAAACTCGAAACAGACTTGCAACGTCGCCTTGTCCTACATTGCGAAAGAAATCGCCACCCCGGAGGGCCCCAGTAACACAGGGAGATTTTGTTCGTCGGGGGGCGGATGAAAGAGGACATTACTTTTTCTTTCATGGTGTTGTGGTGTTTTGTTTTGTGTTGCCGGGGGTGGTTGTGTGTAGATGCTTCTCATCTTTGTGGTAGCCTGCTTCCAAATGGAGAGAATGGATTTTAATTCATTCTTGTTTATTTTTTTTGTTTTATTTCATCTTTGTGATCTTGGTGGATTTGTTACATTGAGGCGGGAGATTTGGGGGCGATGGGAGTTGTACAGCGGAGGTGGGACACGGGATGGGATGGGATGGGATGGGATGGAAGAAGGGGAGGGGTTTTTTTTTTTTTTTTTTTTGTGAGAGGATTGTTAAGGGGGGGAGAATGGGTTGGGATTTTGCAACGTCTTTTCTATTGAATATGGATTAATAGAGGTTATTTACTATGAATGGGTTTGGACGAGTTATGTGAGTTGGGACTCGGAAAGAAATGTGGCGAGAGTGAGTATCCGATGGCTTCGAGACCTCCGGAGCGCGCAAACCAGGAAATTCAAGGACGTCTCTCGCCGTTGTGCTGAAAGAGTCCGTCCGGTGCGAGTACTGCTCGTTCGAATGCAAACACAAGCCGCCACAGCTCGGAAAGATATATATATATATATATATATATATATATGGTATATAAACAGTGTGTCTGTGTAAGGAGGGAACATCCCTTGTGAGCCCGGGACAGGCCCTAAAGTCAGTTAGATCGCTGCTTAACCTGCCTTTTTTTCTCTTTCAAGAAAGTATAGTATAGGGTGGTGCCACGTTAAGACTTGATACTGAGAGGGCTGGGTGAATTTGTATTCTGAATTGTTCTTTTCCCTTCTTTCTGCCCTCGGACAGGATTCGGTGCGAGCACCTGCATCGGAATGTGGTTCCTTTTGTGGTCTATGAGAAAGTGATATATCATAAATTCGTATCGGTGTAATGTGAGAGGCTCTTTCTCTTCTCCCTCGTCCATCCTTGTCCATCCTTGTCCATCGTAATAAAAGTTTGTCGTCCAACTAGGTTCATGCAGTGCTTCCATGCATCCTCATAAATAGAGAGCAAACCATCCGATCAAATCGTCGAGATAATCAAGAAGCGGTATCTGATAGCGTAGTTTTAGAGACAGCGCTCCGCTTGGAATACAAACCATAGACGCTGTTTTGTGCCTTTGCGGCCATCTTGAGATTGGAGAAGCGCGCTTCGGGTAGCCTCTTCCCCTCCTGGAGACTTTGTAGCACCCTGGATCTAATTAGCCAAGACGTTGCAAAAGACTGAAAAGGCAAACCCACCATTCCACACTGACAAACTTGACGCCACAGCCACCAATCTTGCGGATTTCCTTTTCCAGCTTGCCCGCGGCGAGGCCACCCCCGGTGCCTTTGCCCTCTGTCGAGCCGTTGGGCCGCCCAAGGATAACATGCGTGACCTTTCGCCGGCCCAGGTTCAGAGACATGTTGCCGCCGTTTTCACTGATGAGCTGCTTGAGGCGGTGGTCGGACACCAGGGGAAACGTGCTGCCGTTGACGTAGACCGTGACCCCGTCGAAGAGCTTGCGCGGGTTGGCTTGGGTCTTCTTTTGCTTTTCCTCGTCCTCCAGCCGTCTCTGGTGCATCAAGGCATCTTCTGCCGTGGTATGGATCCCCGGCACCGATTTGTCCCGCGCTTCGGGTCCGTTTGGCCGGCGTGAACCCAGCGTCTCACGCATCAGCCCCGGGCGAGTCAGCATGTCCACGACGCTCGTCTGATTACTATCCCCCTGGCCACTGCCACTCGTGCTCGTATTCTTTCCATCGACACCGGGATGCTCTGCTCCGGCGCCCCATGTGTCGCTCAAGCGCTGGCCGCCCGAGCCGTCGCCGGCCCGGAACTGGCTGTTGAGCTTCCTGGCCCGCGAGTGTCGCCACCCCGTGCCCGGTTGCGTCTCTGCTCGCTGGTGGCCAGTTGCGGACGAGTTCCAAGGGTCCCAGGGGCGCGTGGCGGAGATCTGGGACAGGGGTTTGGGTGGTGACATGTCGCTTTTTTCTCCAGATGGCGTGCATCTGACGCTGGGACTAGTTTTAGCTGTAGCTGTAGCTGTAGCTGTAGCTGTAGCTGTTCACTCGCATACGGTACATCCAGAGTACTCGTGGATACGGCAAAGAACACAGTCGTCCAACGGCAGTTTGTTTGTAAGGGAGAAAAGAAAAGACACCGCAAACACCCAATTCAGCAGCCCTTGAGCCTCTGCCCGCGTTTCGGCGCGTTTGTCCCGCTAATGTCGTGAAAGAACGGGCGCCTGTTTGACGCCAGGTCACATGACGCTGGACTGTACCACAATTGTCTCCGTGTCGTCTCCTCGAATCCCACAAAGTCAATTTGATATCCATCGACTTCAAGATGTTTCGTCATCGTCATCGTCATCGTCATCATTCGTCGTGTTTCTGGCAACATCTCCCTTGTATCGTCAAATCTGCCCTCTTACCACCACGCTGATGAGGGCATTTCGGGATCATCCCGTCAATGCTCTCAGCATCGCCACAATCCGGTATAAGTCGGCCAGCGCTTCTCCAAATGTTTCATCCTTCTCTCCTCCGGGAGTGAACAGACCACCACCATTGCGCCAACCATCGCCACCATCTCCATCTTGTCGGTATCACTCAGCCGATCCCGTCAGACCATCATCCCCCACACCCACAGCACAGCACGGCACAGCAAACCTGCCGCCGCAGGGCTATTCGCGTGGCTCTTGGTCGAATGTATGTACTCGTACTGTAATGCAGTCTGCACCCATGATATGCGCCTCGCCTGGGGATGTGCCGGTTGGGATCCCCTGGCTGCATGCTAGATGACTTGGCCGATGTGAGGTTCATGCGCAAAACTCTCCTCGGATGCCACCCTTGGATCCATACACGTATAAGCGCGGGAGTTTTCTGTCTCCTCTTCCACCGCGATGGTTACACAACTCAACTAGACAAAGCACACTAGTACGAGTAGTTGGCCTGGGTGCCTGGGTGCCTGGGACACGCTACTTGTTGGTTTGCTTTCAGCCATCAACATCTCATTCATTTCAAGGAGAGCCTCCTTTTGTCTGCCTCGCTTGAATCCATGATTGGCTCTCACTATCAGAGCACATGATTCCCGAGGAGACGTAATGCTTGTTCACTGGACACGGTTCTGGTCAGCAGGTGTAGTCTGTGCGTCCAATCGACTGCCAAGTACTTACTATACCAGATCATCCCCTGTCCTGGTGACGGCTTGTTTCATCATCATCCGTTTGCCCTCCTTGGACCGGACCTTTGGCCGGCCGATGAGTCCCTGATGAGTCCAGGGCGGCATGTCCATGCTGAGCAGCGATAGAGATTGCGGTTCCAGAGAGACAAAGGACCCCTCGAAATGGCTGGCTTGGTCATTGCTTCTCCCTCAACAGCCACCGTGTTTCCCGTTGACCCTGCTCGCCCTTCAGCTCCGCAACAAATCAACGACCCGCCTCACGATACTCTCCGTACAAAGTATTCAGACGAGGCCACGACGGCGGCGGCGGTTGTAAGACCGCGCACCGTGGCCGTGCACGATACGACCAACCGTCCGACCAAGCCGCTTCAGCCAATTCTCCCAGCAACGCGGCTGTGGCAGGTTCCGTCCTACAGGGCTCCCCTACTTGGCTCCTGTGCTTGTGCGCCTTTCCCTACCAGATCATGTCAGGACCACGGCACCTTACACGTACATGGCATCTTGCCTCGCCGCACTTATGCGCATCATACTTGCTTTGCAGCTTCCATCTCCCGCTGTACCGTGTACGAGTAAGCAGATCTCGCTCATGCCAGCTATATCTTGTCTGCTCTGTGCGCGACGCGCAGTGCAAGGCCCTGTTGCCCTTTGTCTAGACTGCAGCAACCCCCTCGACTGAAAACCACGGCGACCTTTTGCGGCATAGACTCCGGGCCGCTTTTGTTGCTGCAGATCACTAGTCGGGGTCCCCCACCAGATTGTGAAGCATACGATACGATACGATGCTCCTTGTCCTGGCATGTAATGTACAAGCAAGGAGCGCTGCCGTTGGTACTGCTTACACCTGCTTGGTACCTCTTCGCAGATATAAGTATGCGACATTCGTTGACGTGGGCAAGACTCCCTTCGCAATGGCGGTATTAGTATCTCGTCGCAAACAAACTGGGCTTGGGGATCTCGGCTACGAGGCAGCTCGTTTATGTGAGATGGACCCCCGAGCAAGGGTCCCGGAGGCGTATGGGTGCTCCTAGTAGCACTGCTGGCACGACAAAGCAAGCACTTTCCTCCCGTGCCCAGCACAGAGTACCGGTACATTGAAAAGCCATTTAATCTCTCAGCGAGGGGGGAGCGTTGTCCGAAGTACGTGCATGGCCATTGGCGTGTGCAGGCTTTCGTGAGACCTCTCGCCGCCGTTGCAGGCATCTAGGAGCCATCCTGTTCTTCATCGTACGAAGCCGAGATGCGTCGTCGAACTGGGCATCCTCGGCGTCGGCTCAGCGTTGCTCCTCGTGCTCCCACGGAGTCCCGGGGCACACTCCAGCCAATCCCGTCGTGCAGGCCACCAAGGCAAAAAAGCGTTGCTGCTAAAATCGATGCATGGGCGAGACAGATGAGCCTCCATGCACATGTACGTCAGTAGGGACCTACATGAATGTACATATCACCGGCACGCTTCCTTGCTTTTATGCACGAGCATAACGCGCCACCTACGCAGAGACAAGACAGACATGTAGTCACTTCGAGCCTTCAATTTCTTTCCCTTTTTGTACGTCCTTTGGCCTGCTCGCTCAGCAGCTTTGGGGCCACGCATCGAGGGCGCAACCTTTACTACAACAAGTCAGACGGAAGTTCGTGGCAGAAGTGCCCCAGTCATTGCTCATGGTGCGCCTGCGGCGGGAGAGCTAATGTATCACTACGATTAGCAGTATTCGTATGCTGTACTCTGTACATCCTGACACATGCTGCTTGCGTGGGACGAGAGAGGGTCAAGTGCTGTGCATCAACACGCCCAGATCTTGCTGAGCTTTGGGCTCGCAGGCTGGCTTCCCCTTTTCGACACCGTACGAGTTACTCGCACAGGCAAGCCACGCAGCGGTGCTACGTAGACGTACCGAGTTGTCGAAAGTAACGGTACAGGTGCGGTGGCCTGCCCTTGCCAGCCATTTCTCGTTGCTCCTATCGGCAGAGCTCCCTCCTCGCCAACGTCCTCGTTTTACCTGTATGTACATATGTGATGGTGATCATGCTGTAAGGAGCATCGACGACGAGGAGGGGGGGCGAGGGGACCGGGGGCTGGTCCTGGTCACACACAACACGCAGATTGCTCTCACGGCTTTCTCTTGGCCTCCTCCTTCAGGTTCCTCTCACTCTCTTGCCCTCTTTGCCGCCAGCCGCCGCCCTTGTTGCCCGCAATCTGCCCTGTTTCTTCGTCCTACAATTGCACGTAACATTGCTTACTCGTGTCAGTCATATCGCATGTTTTTGTCGACTGCCACATTGATCAAGCGGTGTCTCGGGATTTCTCTTCTTTTTCCTCGTATGGGGATGTTCTCGCCCGTCTCTCCTGTCATATCTACACGTATTATTAGTCCCGGCAGACACCAACAGCTTCGACCATGAGGACTTGTACCGTGACCATGGGAGGGAATTGTGCGATCTGCCCACGGACCATCTCGTTGGCGGGCGGATCCCTTGCCTCTGAGCTGGCAAGGGCCCCAACACAAGACAAGAAGGAGAAAACAAAGCGGTTGAGCGGGTTCGATAGAGAGGGAAAACACCGTGAGGAATAAGACGAATGGCTAGCCAGCGAAGCTCTGTCCAAAAGTCAAGCCGAATCGTGCACACGCCCCCCAGGTCCGCACGCCCCCCCAGAGTGTGGGCTCCATGCAAAATCGGGTATGCAAGGGAGGGGGCTTCCTCTCCATCCATCAACATGCGTGCGAGCAACGCAATAAGCGGTGAGGGGAGGAGGGCCAGGCGCTAGACAGATGGAGCCACCACAAGAAAAGGCCAGGCCACAACCACAGCCCCAGGTCTTTGCGTCTCCAGTTTTGGAGGCGAGCAAGGGTTAGGGGGGAGGAGAGCAGTCCCCTCCTCCCCCGGAAGGGGCCTCAGGCAAGGAATTCCTCGCCATCATCGGACATACAATGTCCCCTCCCATGGGCGGCCGAGCAAATGTTCGGTCTGACAAGACTGCCGGGAGGTGCCCCGAAAAAGCGTGAGCAGAGAACGAACCACGGCATGTCACGTTCTCTGCTCCGGGCCAACGCTCCACTCGGTGTAGAGCAAACGGACGTCAGGATTACAGACTACATATAGCACTGACCACGTGGTTCCAAAGACGCAAACCGCTTATAGAGACTGTGCATGAAAATGTCAGTTGAGGGAAGGGAAAAGAAGACGGAGAATTGATCACGCCAAAGATCCACCTCGCTATCTCTTCCCAATGCTTGCGGGATGTGCACGTACATGCAGTACATTGTACCGTAAGTTGCCAATATCGGGCTGCCATAAACCTGGGCGGTTTTTTGCTACTCACTCGTACATGTAAGACCTGATAGACAACGCCACTGCCATTTCATTTAAAAAATGAAAATGAAAACCGACAGGCTCGGCATGTCACTAAGACTGCGGGAATTCACAGGGCGAGACAATCCAACGGCGAGGTCTGGTTGGTTGGCTCAAAACGGTTGAAAGGCAAAGACAACAAAATGATACTGTTAGTGATTTCAGCTGAATCATGAGCAAAGTTGTACAACAGAGTACAAGGAAGTAACGGTAAAAAACCAGGAAAGATGGCGAGAAGAAATGTAATGAGTAAAGGGAATACGAATTGATCTCCGTTTTAGTCTTTCGTTTCGATTTTTCCATGACGAAGACCAACGGTCATAGCAGAACACCAGGGGAGATTGCTGGATTGTCACGATCGAAACACCATCCATCACCTCACCTTGCCTGATCCATTCTACATGATTGACGGCAGCATTTCGCCCACAAGCCACATCCTCATGTCAAGCCGCGCCC